CATTGGAAAATACTGCCACGTCCCGACCAGAGGCCCCGCCCACTCCCGCTGCCACGCCTGCCGCAGGAGGAGCAGGCGCTGCGTCAGGGATACCATGTGTTGCCCCGGCAACCGCTGCAGCAGCAGTAAGACCTGCTTTTAAAACGATGGTCATATAATCTAAAAATATGGAGAATTTCAACATGGATTATTTGCTTTGTTGTTTTGCAGACGTTTGTGTTCCTGAGCTGGTCGGTTTTTGGCCTCAGAGTGTCCTGGACGCTGACGGAGACATGAACCCGGCATCCAACAGAGGATGGAGGAAACGAGGGAGGGTGAACCTTAAAGGGTCTTCTGCTACAGGTACATTTGTTCTCTCCGCTCTCAGTCAAACCAGCCTGTTCCCCTCCTGGCCTGTGGGGGCGCTGCACCAAGAACCAGTGGAGGAAATGACACAAAAGCCTCTGAAGACGCTGAGAGCAACTTCCTTCTTTATTAAATGGAAACAGAAATGGAGTTTGATCAGGTTTCAGTAGCTGTAGGATTTCTGTTTTGTGTTTGGTAAAAGAAAAGGAGCCATTTTTCTGCTAGCGCTAGGCTAGCAGGTTTGTTTTGGTTGGATTTTCCACTATATTAATTTTTCTGGACAAAATGGTGAAGAACTAATTTATTTGTTTGGTAAACTTTTAGTAATGACGTCAAACAGGAAGCCTGATTGGTCCACATAATGGCAGCTGGCTGTGTCTTTTTTAATCAATGAACTTTCTATTGAAACGGCCTGGAGTTTGTTGACCAGAGAGGTTTTGTGTTCTGGTTCTGCAGGTCAGGTAGGCGACCTGTGCCTCCGCTCCTCTGACTGCTCAGACGGGTTGTGCTGCGCTCGCCACTTCTGGGCCCGGATCTGCAAGCCGGTGTTGCGGGAGGGCCAGGTTTGCACGCGTCAGCGGCGTAAAGGCCACCAGGGCTTGGAGCTGTTCCAGCGCTGCTCGTGCGGCGCCGGACTCACCTGCCGGGCCGCGCCGGACCCAAACAGCCAGACTCCGCCACCGCGGCCATCTTTGCTGCTGGACCAAGCTGCGAAATCCAAGTTTGAGGTTTCCCCTTCCTTGTCTCGGCACGCCTCTCCCCACACCTCGGTGCTGGCCGCGACCTCGTCGTCTTCAGTGGCGGCGAAGACGAGACTCCATGTGTGTCAGAGGAAATAAGGTGGACACAATAACGGACTGATGGAGGGATGAACAGAGCAAATCTCCTCTGTCTGTGATCGAGGCCTGAGGCAACGAGAGGCAGACAGATTTGTAAAAGAAAGAGTGAATTACATTCCTGTTTACACTTGTGAAATTCCCTGAGTGTCTCCTTCAATATCTGGGAGGTCACCAGCTTCCTGTCACGCCAGCTGAAGGAGAAACGAAACCTTTAGACGTTGGGATGTGATTTCCTTCTGGGCGTCTAGACAAACCGAAACCGCTTTGAAATCCAGTCTGACCCCAACAACACAACGTTGATGCATATCTGATCTAATTCACACATTGTTTTCACTCTTCATCACTAAATCTACAAAGAAACCGAGTTCAGATATCTGGTCACTTTAGCATAAAATATTAGTCAATTTAGTCAACATTTGAATTATGTTTTCAATAAATAACTATTCCATCTTTATAACATTGTAAACAGGTTCCATCGCTCTGACTCCAATCCAGCCGTTCACCATTCCTTTCACATTCTGTTTTAAACTTATAAAAAACATTTTGTGTCAATGTTATCATACTTTTAACATTTTAACTAATTTTACTGGGTTTATTCTCTGAGTAAAAACTAAATGAATGAATTAATTTTTTCCAGACTGTTTTATTGCACTGATATTTTGAATTGGTTTTCTATAAATATTGTATTTTGTGGTAAATCTGGGTGAAACTATTCACATTTAATGAGTTTAACTGAAAGTTATTAAATGTTTTGTGAATAAATTTTTCTTCTTGCTATAGTTTTCTGTTTTGTGCTAAAAGCACCTTTACTACACAACCCCTCTGAACCCTATTTACCGTATTCACTGCTTCATTTCTCCCAATAGATGTTATGCTAGCTGGCTAAGCTAGCACTAGCCAGCAGTCTCTTCCTGGATTCAACCATTTCCAGTTATGAGCTTCAAACTGTTAACTTTCTGGGTCACAGATATAAATTAATGTTGGGCTCAAATACACCTGATTTTATGTGTATTTTATCTATATTTGACTTTATGTTTTTGCTAGCAGCTAGCTTGTAGTAGCCAAGTTTATTGATAAGACTTGACACAGAATAACAATAAAGCTTTTAAAAATCCTTTTTTTCGTCATTGAGATGTTTGTAATTTCTAGTTTTAACTGATATTATCTAGCCAGAGTTTCCTTAAGTGCTTCTGATGTGACCGTCTCCTCTAAGCAGGTACTGAAGGCTGCGGGTGCAAAACGTCAGGAAGATAAAAATACCAAATGATTTCATTATAACTGTCATTTCCAAACATAAATATCAAATTTTGTGAAATCAGTCAGGATCAGGAGAAAAGTTTGTTAAAAAGTGGAAAAGAAATTTAAAGATTTGGTTGACAATGAAGCACTGATTAGAAACTGATGAGACTATTTTAGCTAAATATTTTACATCTGGAAAACCGTATTAGATTTAAAACTTTAAACACAAACATGAGCAGCCACATTAATAACTGGTAATGTAACTCCAGTGGCATTCACACTGTAATTAGATACTGAGATTCAAATAGTGACATTTTGAAGAGCCAGGTTTTTGTATTTAATCCCTTAAACCGGTCTGACAGGAATGAGACATTAAGCTAAATTTACACCCAGCTGGTGCTTGAAGGTCCCACCGGAGTTTGGTTCAGGCTGGGTGGGTTCTGGTCGGCCCAGGATGTTTGGACCCACTGGGTCCATTGAACAGAATCCATTTGGGGAACCCTGCTGACCACCAGGGTAGTTCTTCATATCAAAGAACCCAATCAGTTCAAAATAGGCAAAATGTAAAAATCCAACATGGGTCCAACATCTGGGTTTCTCAGACCATATGGGTCTCATTTAAAGTAAATATTAGGATAAAACCGCATTAAATTATACCAAATGGTGAATAAATCTGGTTGGTAGTTTGTATAAAGATAAACTGCCTCAAAAGGCCATTTAAGGTTCTATCTTCATGTTTTTGTGTAACTTTGTTCAACATTATTTCAGAATAAATCTTTCTCAGTGCTGCCCTCTGTCGGTGCTGAGGCAGTCTTCATCACAGTTTAAAACCAGGTGACTCAGGCCCACAGCTCCCCCTGGTGGCGAGGCAGGTTGGACTCCCCACACTGGGCCGGGGGTTTTGGCTCTGCTTTAGGGAGGATTGGCTTTCAGAGAGGTTGGTTACATTTTAATAAACTCAAAATTCTTCTCTAATTCAGTATTTCCTGTATGTTTGGAGTGATTAGTATATTTCACTGGTTCATCTGTTTAACTCCCAGTGGTCATTTAGACCATCATTTATTTAATTTTAAGTCAGTATGACTCGTTCTCCAACCAACCACCAAATAACAAAATTTAGATGTAAGTAAGCTGAGATAAGTACAGAAAGGTGTATTATTATTATTATTATTATTCCTGTAGCTCAAACTGCACTATAACATTTCCATTTCCAAACAAGTCTTCAGACCAAAACTCTATTAACATTTTAAATGCTGACATTGTTACATTTCTACAGCTGAATGAGTCTAAAAAGCTTTGCTATAAAAAGCTTTGCTTAGGTTGATATGAGTTAAATATCTGATATGTGGAAAAGCCGAAGTTTCCTGCAGCCTGATCTGATCTGATCTGATCTGATCTGATCTTCTGCAGGTTTTCCTTCAGGCAGACCAGAGTTTCCCTGTTTGTGAGGAACGGCTGTTCTGACTGCTGAAGATAAGCTCAGCGGGTCTCTTCCGTTCGTTTCCGCCAGAGTTTCCCCGTTCTGGCACGTCCGCAGTTGGTCATCAATCTGCATTGTCGTCACATTTCCATCTGGTTCCCCGTTTCGCTGATGTCACGGGTTTGTTTCATGGCTCTGATTTGGATCTGAGAACAAAACTCTGATGGTTCACTTTCAGCTGTGTGATTCCTGAACCGAAGGAGGCCCAGGAACCCACTGACCCGTCAGACACCAAAGAGCTAACTGGCTAGCATGGCAGGCTATGTTAGCAGCTAGTTAGCATCCAGTTAGTAGATAGTTAGTGGATTGTCAGCGGCTAGTTAGTGGCTAGTTAGTGACTAGTTATCAGATAGATAGCAGATAGTTAGCGACTAGTTAGCAGATAGATAGCTGCTAGTTAGTTGTTTGTTAACAATTAGTTAGCAGATAGCTAGCATCTGGTTAGTGGATAGTTAGCAGCTAGTTAGTAACTAGTTAGCAGCTAGATAGCAGATAGTTAGCTGCTAGTTAGTTGTTAGTTAACAACTAGTTAGCGGATAGTTAGCATCTGGTTAACAGATAGTTAGCAGCTACTTAGCTACTTCCTCCTGTCTCAGAAAGAAAAGAATCAAACTTTTGTCTAACGGAAAAATCCTACAACACAAAAACAAAACACATAAACATAGAATATGAGATTAAATGATTCTGCCACGACAAAATCAATTAGGATCAAACATTAATCACAGGTCAGTCCTGTCTGTTCATTAATGGAAACCTGCTTCCTGGATGTGGCCTGATGTGTCAACACAGTTTGTTTAAAGAGAAGCCTGAGAAACACGAAGTGAAATAACTGAAGTTTATGACTAACGACTGAACATCACAGCAACATGATCATTTTAATGATGAAGCTCAGAGCAGATGTTGTGTTTTCTGTCCACTGACAGCAGGTCACATGATTAAATCAATAAATTTACATTTGATTTTGTGTTTTATTACAGTATAAAACCAGATGAAAGTCAACACACAGTCATCAGCGCTGCAGTATGAGGAATTGCAGAGACGTTTGTCACTTTTATGGGGCAATAAATCCTGAGCCGAGCAGCAGATATGAGAGGCTGGTTACACTTTAACCTGAAGCCACTCCTGCAGCTTCCTGTGCTGACCGGACCCGGAACCCGGTCTGCTGCACCTGCACAGGTACGACCAGGTGAGAAAACGTTTTATTTTCAATCTTTTGATCGTCCTGAAGGACAGAAAGGCGACTCAAACAGGTTAGACCGACTCATGGAGCTAGAAGACAGAAGCTGCCGTGGTTTGTTTGTTTCTCTATCTGCAAACTGAAATGCAATAAAATCTCATCGTTTCATCAGATGGACGCTAAACTCGGTTTCCATGACAACCCCCTGAGTCGGCTGATGACAGCAAGAGAAGAACAAAGGGACGTTGTGGCTTTAAATGTGCTGTTGCTAGGAGACAGGCAGAGTGGGCGGAGCTCCGTGGGGAACGCTCTCATTGGTCAGTCCCGGAGAGCAGATTTTCCTTCTGGTTCATGTTTTCGTGTGAATCTAACGACGTTTCTCGCCGGTTAAAGGCGGCGACGAATTTCAGACGGGGACCTGCGTTTCCGGCGTCTCCATGACGACAGAGCTCCGGGTCCTGAGCAGGAAGTTTCCCGCGTACTTCCGGAGGCAGGGGGCGGAGTCTGACCTCCTGCTCAGCGTCCTGGACACGCCCCCCGGGAAGCTCCGCCCACAGCGCCTGCGGGCGCTCTGCCCCGGCGGCCTTCACGTGTTGGTGGTCGTAATAAGAGCCGATCAGCTGCAGGAAAACTCACAGCTGCTGAGCAACACAGAGGTACAAACATTCAGATCTGCTCCCATAATCCTCTGTCTGATTTACGTAATCTGAATTTCATCCCAACCTGTTTCTGCTTGGCGGTGCGTTTATTTCTACTTGTGTTTTCGAACCTTTGGGTCGGAAAAATGTCAAGTCCAAAACTCTGTCATGTTCACGTTATCCTAGAAATTAGACTTTTTAATCTTTTTATTAATTCCTGTAAGAAAAAGTGATCATGTGAAAAATGCAGTTTATCAAGTTTCATCAATTATGTCAACAGACCAATCCTTCATTTGTGAATTTACTTAAATGATGGTGAAACAGTGCAGAGCGCTTACACTAACAATCAAATTTACAGGAAAAGTCACACAGGAAAGGCACAAAATTAAAGTCCTAATCAATGTGTGTAATATACCATTTGATATCAAGGTTATTTTACTTATTCTGTCAAATAAAATGATTTCTCCCAACAACTGGTCCCAGTAGAAGCGACTGGTGATGTTTGCTTAGTGTAACCTCTTTCTGTTTCCCGTCTAACTGAAATGAAACAAATGAACTTGACTGATATAAACGTCTAACTGCCTGAATAATTCATAACAGTCCACAAACAAAACCTCAACACAGATGTTGAACTTTACAGAGCCTACAAAACATCCAGGTCAATTTATCCAAAGATTCATTCAGGAGAAGCTGGATGTGCTAAATGTTTTCAGAGCTAATTGCTAACTAAATTAAAAATTAGCTGCGCTATTAGCGCATTAGCGGTCACTAACGCATTTCCTGATGGGACAATAATCCTTTTTTTTCTCAGAAACATGTTAAGACTTTTTAAAACATTTTTTGCCTTTCAGAGTCTCTTCGGTCCAGACTGGCGTCATCACGCCATGCTCGTCCTCACGCACGCTGATCACCTGGAGAAGGCGGGGCTTCAGCCGCCTGCGTTCCTCACCCAGAGCGCTGATTGGCTGAGCTCTCTGGCCGAGGAGGTTGGGGGCGGGGTTTCGTTTTTGGACAACAGCTCTGATTGGCCATCAGTCAGAGGCCGCCCAATCAGGGATCAAGTGCTCCGCCTCTCAGCGAAGAACCATCACAAAGCTCTGCAATTTAGGTCAGACCAATCACTCTGACACAAATTCTGAGGACCAAAGCCATCAACGTTAATGTGGGTTTTAGGCCCGTAATAACAACAAATATCGTAATTATTGCGATATATGATCATATTTAGAGTAGTATTTTGAAAGACCAATAAATTTTAATTTTGTATAGAACATTCAACTCTAAAACTGGAAGACATTTAAAATATAAATGTTAATTTTTATGCATATTTTGAAAAGTGCAATTTAATCAATACTTTTCAACACGTTTGAAGAAACTTTAGTGGCAGCTATGTTAACCATAACCAGCATTTGAAATAAAATAATAATTACATGAAATAATTAAAAAGCAACAGAAAAAAACATTCTTTTGTCTGTTTATTTTAGTATTTTGTCTTTGCTCTGTCAGTTCATTTGCAGCCACAACAGCAGAAACGTCTTCCAGCAGTTATTACACACATGAGCCAGAAGGGGGCAGTTTTCTATCTGATGGTGCAGCTGGTGAGAGATGGAGCCCTGCACAGCCCCTTCCCCTTCACCTCAAACCCACAGCCTTTGTAGTTGGCCACACCTTTACCGTCCACCTGCAGGTCAGGCAGCAGCAGCTCCCAGATCCTCTGCTTGGAAGGAAGTTCACCGTCCGGCTCGCCTAAAACAAACATGGCGGATCCCAGTGTTGGTACCTAACAGCCTCATGACCTGAACGCTGTCGCCATAGTTACCAGGGTAGCTCAGGAAGGTGATTCTGTCTCCGGGGGCGGAGCCTGAAGGTGGCGCCAGCAGCTCAGTGATGACATCAGAGCAGCAACAGAGAAGGCGGCCATGTGAGGCCACGCCCCTCATTTTAGAGGCCTTCATGTTGCATAGAAACACTCCAAGAGAGCCGCGCAGCTGCCAGGAGAAATTTAATCATAAAAAACAAAAACCACAGTAAATACTATTTATTGACTCTTGGGTCAGTCAGCTTTTCTCTAATTTGGAGTTAGCTTTAGCTGTTAGCTTGACTCTGGTTAGCTGCTAGCATGATCTGGAAGGCTTTGATATAAATGTAGGAATTAATTAAATACATCTTAAAACTTAATAAAATACATTTTGATTTCAAGATATAATTAATTATGTGTTTTTATTTGTTCCACTTTTTTGTTTCAGTGGAAACTTGACAGCATAAATTACATTTCACTGCTTAAAAAATACACCTACAAAATCCAATCATTCACATCAAATGTTCATCTTTTACATTTGTATTTTAATAAAGTAGGAACTATTCAACCAAAGCTTTTTTATTCTGCAGGTCTGGCATTTCTGCTAAACGTAGCTAATCATGAGCTGTTTCCATCCAACTACATTTTGAGCAAACTTCAAAATGTCACAAGAAGCAAAATGCAAAAGTGCAAAGAATTTAATTTTCCATTATTTTGATTGTTCAGGTTAATTTTTTGAATACCCTTCAAAATCAAAATGACATTATATACACATAAATATTTTAAGTCATTTTGAAAGCGGTTTCAGAAAAAGTCCAATTTTGTTACAAAAACTTAACTTGATAATTTTGAAAATTAAGCTAAAAATGTCACAATAAAAGTCAGTTTTCATTCAGAACTCCTGCAATAATGATGATGTTTTCTGGGTTTTCTTGGTGTTTACCTGGTCCAGATCTTGTGACGCTCCAAGTTTGCTAACGACGGTCCGCGGAGAGTTTTCGCCAACATCCACTTCCTGAACACTCATGGCTTCCGCCAGCGGGTGGCGCTGCACGCTCAGGATTCTTCCAACACGCAGGTCCAGGCGTGACGCATCGATGTGAGACTCCGCCCCCAAAGAGAGCGGGTCTGAGGCCGGACGAGCTAAAAGACGGATATAAACCGTGACTGTGGTTTTATTCCTGTGGGGTTTATTTGGTCTGGTTGTTACCTTTCCTCTCTCCTCTCCGCCGCCTGCCTGGTCGGTCTCTGCTCTCACCAGAGGAAATGGAGGGAGGACAGTTTGAAGGAACAGCAGCTGTTGGTCCTGAGGGCCGGGTGGGGTCAGGGTTGGGGTGGGCGGGGCTTACACTGGGAGGGGGCGGAGCCTGAGAGAACAATTCTTTGGCTGGAAGAAAGAAAACATGATAAATCAGGAAAAGAGATTTAATAATTCATCCAGAGCTCAGTAACTGATAACAACTGAATGCATCTGAGTAACTTTTAATTTAGCAAGTCATCAAGTCTAACACAATCTAAGGTCATGTTTCCAAGAGATTAAAAACATTTCCGTAAAACTTCCTTCAGAACTTTATGGCTCCTCAGTCCCCAGAGAGAACGTCTTCTCAAGAAACCCTGGATAAATGTTTGACCTGGTGCAGGTAAGATGTTGTTCAGGTGTTAAAGCTGTTGAATCGTTGGTCATGTCTTTCAGTCCGTACCGGTGCGTCTCTTCTGCTTGTCCTGCAGCTGACCCCTCAGCTGCTCAATGTCCTTTTTCAGTTTGGCGTTTTCAACCAGCAGCTTCTTCTGCTCTCTGACCGACGCCTGCAGCACTGCAACACACACAATATCATGCCATCCACAAGGTGGCGCTGTGTGGGAAATATATTTCACTCATTACATGTTTCTTCTGATTTTATTTTTTTTTTTTATGTTTCTGGTCATCATCAGACTAAAGGCACTTTTTTTCTTGTCAAGTGAGAAATTCAATTAAACTGTAAATAATTTTATTCAAACTGTTTAGTTGGTGAATAATCACCAAACATATCTGGTGACGCCTGATATGTCACCAGAAACTCTTCAACATCTGGAGCCAACATGTTTGGACCCGTCTGTCCCAACAGAACCAGAACCAAACTGGTTTCAATGAACAGTTAGGTTCTGCGCAACCTGAACGGCTTTAAAAGCCTAAAAATATCATCACACATCACATCACGATGTGTGGATGGAAACGCTGAGCTGACCTCTGACCTCTGATGTCATTAACTCTCAGGGTTTGTCTTACAGGCTTTTTCTCTGCTCAGCAGCGCGTGGGTTTTAAAGTACTCCATAATCTGCTCTCCATCATCCGGGTCCAGTTTCTTCAGAGCTGCTGCCAGGCTGAAAAAATAAAAAGCAACAAAAACCCGTCAAATAAACAAAGCTTGTGCTGACAGAGGTCAGAGGTCAAAGTTTTTCTGCCAATCTGAAATATTAGCAACAATTTTTAGTTTGGTGCATTATTATTAATTATTATTAATCGTTTCCCTCTTGAAGAAATAAACTGTTATGTGAAGAAGTGGTTGAAATGTTTATTAATTTATTTTAAAATAAATATATTTAAACAAAAAGATTATTTTTGGGTTACATGAAAGTAAAGCTGTCTATTTAAAATGCTCTTTTTCTCCAGGCTCAGATGTCATCAGTTAGTTTGGTTAAACAGAAACATCATTATTCAAATGAGACGATGAGGTCACAGACGCTCAGATGTGATGTTTATGTTTAGATGAGATCTGAGCTGCCTGCCTCAGGACGCCGCGCAGCTAAAGGTCAGAGCTACAGGACCAGGAACGTTTGTTTTGATTAAATCATGGATGAGTGCAGGAGCTTCCTGCATGAAATGATCACAAAATGACACAATGTCAGAAGAACTCATGCAGAGAATGTAAAACTTTGTAGTTTGCTTCAGAAATGGCCAAAAAATGTCCTATTTATTCGCCTCCAACAAAGACAATGAACTTAAAAAAGGCCTTGAGAAGCTCAGACTGCTGCCAACCCATCAACAAACTAAATATGGAGCAAAAATCTTTTTACATTTTTCTACATTCCATTATTTTATTGATATGTCAAAATGATTAATCGATCTGTGACACTTTGACGAGACAGAACACAAATACTTGTGATATCAGGCAAGTCTGACATTTCATTCCAGATATTTCTCACAGAAAAGCTGCTTAATTAACAATATTGGGAATTAATTTGGAGAATTTTGTTAGTCAAGATTGTAGTATCAAATTATATAGGTCCTGATAAAAGTGAGACATTGTAACTTTACTTTGACTAGTCATCCTTAATTGTTGATATCTGAAAAATAAATTTCAGTAATTAATTGCAGATATCTTGAATTAAAGCTTCCACACAAATTAATGGTAAATCCGATGTCATTTATATTAGTGAGGATGTAATTAGAGCTATCTTAATTTACAAATACACCAAATCAAACCAGTTTCAGATGACTGAATGTTGGTGAAACTGATTTTATGTTAAATCGGCCTGCCATATCCTCCAAGCGACAAAGTTAGCATGCTAACGGAAACTAGTTCAGCGTTTGAGAGAAAGGTTGATATGAAAGGAATTTTGATTGGTTTCAGCGGTAGATTATGTTAGACTGTGGACGTCAGACTCGCTGTGGATTAACAAACTTCCCGGGATTAGGTTAACTGGACCGCTGTGGACGTAAAAAGCGGTTTTAGATGGAGATTTTCCGGCAGTGATGGAGACTTCGGCCGGTGAGTTGGACGTTATTCAGCATTTCTCGGTTGTTTGACAAACAGTTTCACTGTCGACAGTTAGAGCTGTGTCTCTATAATCTGCTAGAATTAAGAGCTTTGGCTTTCCAATTATTTAAAATATGTATAGAAAGAACAAGCAAAGCGCAAACCGTTTGGACGCGCAGCGCGCGCTGTGCCCGAACTTCCTTTTTTCAGATTTGACCTTGTGAAATTAGCATGAATTTGTCTCACACCTGTTTCGCAGTTGCGTTTATTATGATTTATGTTTTTGTGTGAAGTCAACCTGCTGGACCTGAACAATGAACTCATAACTATTGGGCAGCTTGAGCCCAAAAGTAGATTTAACAATGAATCAATAACAACATATATACATATCAATACATAATAGGTCTGATAGAATATTCATTAAACTCCGATCCACAACCGCACAGCCTTCTGGGAGATGTAAACAGAGGATGCTACTAGCGAAGCAAAGCTCAATCTGGCACTCTGGTTGCTTAGCAACGCACTCGTTCTTTGGTTTCCTAGCAACAAGCTGCTGAGGAAAGCAGCAGCAGTTTCAGGTTTGTGCCTCATAACTGTAAAAAGATTAAAACACTGCTGTGTGCTTGGAGAGAAAACTGGGGATAAAACAGTAAAGGTCTCTTCACCAGTCTGTTAGTATTTGGGATATTTAAAGTAAAAAACTGATCAATAATTAACAATATTAACTGATATAAAACAGTCCTATTCAAGGTCTGTTTTTAATGTGTATTGGGGAGTTTTGAGCTGGTGATCATTTTCACCTAAACAGATGAAAATAGAAAAATAATTTTCCTACTAGTGTAATAATAATTGTGTAATAATTCTGCATAACAGCATGCAGGTATTCCCCTGAGAAGCCAAAACCTCTCCTTTACTTCTGTAAACATGCATGTTTGTTGTTCATTAACATTTCGAATTAACAGACACTATTGTAGTTGGTGATTAAAAAGAATATTGTTTTAATTTCGGCTGCTGCTGATGCTGTAGATGTGAGTTTTTATCCTGTGGGAACCGTTCCTGTTCCTGAACAAACCCAGTCAGAGCTCCTGACATGCAGAGACACAACAGCTGCAACATGCTGGATGCTAAAAATACCTGGAGCTAGTGGAGCTCACTCACATGAATGTACAGTAACTATACTGACAACAGAATCAGACTGATAAATAGCCGGGGAAGATGAAGACGAGGATAAAAACTCCGAAAATGACTAAAGTTTCAGTGAAACACTCAGGTCTGTTGACCAAAATGTTTCTACTTTAATCTGAAAACCAAAGGTGAACTAGTGCTGCTTTTTAAGATAAAGTTCACCTTTGGGAGTGAACAGAGCAGCCTCATGTGAGAAGCGTTTGGTTTGTGTTGGTAAAGGAAGCCGTTTGGTACCTGGGCTTGAACAGGTTCTCCATGTTGTCCATGCTGACGCTCGGCCGGCTCCGCTGCAGAACGCGCCCGGACTGGAGGGGTTTCGCCTCCGCTCTGCCTTCTGTCAGCTGTCTGCCCCCATCAGCGCTGTCTGTGGCCAGAGGTCAAAGGTCACACACTTCCACTTTTAACCACAGGAGAATCAGAGGCTTACGTTTTGATATCCAGCGTATTTTATTGAGCAGAGTGAAAACAAACTGCGTGATGAACGGCGCCTTGCAAAAGTCTTCACTCCCCTGGACCTGTTCACATTTAGTCAATAAAACCACAAAAATGAGATCAGATTTCAACTTTTTATTTATAGAACATCCCTTCTATAAATAAAAACTTTATTTTCATTTTTGTCTGTTCCATAAAATTCCAATAAAATCTGAAATGAAAGTATTTTTCTGAGATTTCAATGACATAAGTCACTAATAATCAGTTTTCTTTGCTAATGAATGTAAATTTTTCTTGATCTCTTTTAGGCAAGGTCAGCAGGACATGAATGCTTGAACTGTGGTTGCTTTGATTTAATGAACAATTAGCGCCACCTGGTGGTGAATTGGGCAAACTACAAGCCCCAAACTAATCAGAGGACAACAGAGTGAGCAGGTGGAGATGAGGAAGTCTTTGGATTTGGAGATTTGTGCTCCAGTTTTAATTTAGATTTAGTTTAACTTATGTATTTAGTGTGATGATTCTGACTCAGCTGACCTACATCAGCGACACATTTTGCATGTTGGCCTCCAACAGTGTTGTAGCATGTTTTACAGCACGTTTTGCATATGTTTGTTTGATTTAACTGCAAACTTACCGCAGTGAAACGGCATGTTGGACTTTGGGTCAGGGTTGGTGAAGAACCAGTGACTCTTCAGATCAGAGCTATAAATTCAACAAAGTTTTATTTTATTATATTTTTGAACATCTAGGGAACCTCTTGTGTGTCTGAATTTGATTTCACTCATCAGTCAGAGCCTGGTTCAAATCTACGATTTGTTTCTGCTTTGTTTTCAGTGAACCAGGTGATGAAATGCTATTTCACAGTTAAAAAACTGCACCTCTTGTTGTTCATAAGCTTTGTTCTAGTTTTACTTTAAATCTGCTGTTGTGTCATTTAAAGATCAAGAAGGTACAGTAACCCATACATCCCTGACTCCAACCTGTTCTGACATACTGAAAGAAATTGATTTACAAAAGTGTTTTTTCAGTCTAAATGTGTTATTTTGTGATTATGGTCATTATTTGTATTCTTTTTTTTCATATTTGTGTTTAAAATACCTGAAGTTGCACATAATCGGATGACATCATTTTTAACATCAGATGTTCAGATCTGTTGGTGACTCAACTTAAGTCATTTTTACTTTTTTACTCTTGAGTAATAAGCATTTACCTGAAGATGTGCATATTTCTAACTCTATAATTTAATACATATAAAAACAGAATAATTAAAAAATATATTAAATCATCTGATGAACCATGAAATTCAAGTTTGACAAATAATTTTTACATTTATTTGCCGGAACTTCGCTGCTAGCTTCAGGTAGTTCTCCGCTTTCTCCGGAAAATCCCGAGTGAAACCGAGCTGAGGTGAGTCATGCGCAGAAGTGCGTCAGAGAGAGAGCGCGCTTCCTGGGAGCCGAAGGAAGCGAACCATATTTGGAGTCTAAACATGGAAGAGCGCCAGGCACGAGCCGCGGGGGCGGGGCGCTGCTGGGAGGGGCGGGAAGGGGAGGACGGGAGGGGAGGGGCTCCTCCTTCCCCGCGGACACCGGAGAAAAGGAGGGGAAACCGGGAGAAAGGTACACGTTTCCGAGTAGAAGTGTTCCAGAAAGCGGTGAGTAAATCTCTGCCTGCATTATAACAAGAAGAAAACCCACATTATTCTAGACGTTGTTAGTTTGGAAACCTCCAAAGTCACGTTTCGTGGTCGACAGGTGTTTTCCTGGATTCAGCTTCATGTCGTATTTTCAAAATGAAGGAAACTCAGAAAATCCCACGAAGTTAAAGTCACTTTAAAAATCAGTTTTAAGTTTCCGAGCGATTGATCCGTTGATTTGGAGACAGTTTATAAAGAAGTCTGAGACTGTTTAGTTTGAGCTTGAAAACATTGTTTTATTTATCGGTAGAGAGCAGGAGACGCTGCTGCATCATGCAGCAAAGCCCAGTCTGTGTTTCACAGTTTATAATCTGACTGATAATCTGTCCGGCAGAATATCACATCCGTTCAGGCTGTTGCTCCTCCTCGCCCGCATCGTGTTGATGAATCAGCTCTAATCTGTGGAAATTGAATTCCCGAGTTTCTAACTTCATTAGGCCAAATTCCCCGATCCTCTGTAAACAGAATGCTGCCAGGAGCCGCACAGAAAGTCTGTTCAGAAGAGACTTTCTGCAGGTTTAACGGGTCCAAACAGCAGCAGGAATAGACAACAACTTCCTGTTAAAGTCTCGATCTGTAACATCCAGACAGTTTAAACCGTCTGGAAACAGATTTTAGGCCTGGCCTTGGTGAGTTTACTTTTTCTGTGACACATGATCAACCAGGGATGGTTTCCTTAATCCCTTTGGATGAGTTGGCAGTCACAGGTTTTAGCTTGAAGCTCACATGTAAACACCATGCATGGGCTCCTGGTAGTCAGCGGGCGGAGAAGGCATTTAACAGACACATTGTGTCTAAAACGAGCTTTTCTTAAATTCCTGAACACACCTGTCCTGATGCACAAGTACAAGTGAGTCAGTGAAGAAGAAATGCTAAAACCAGAGCGAGATGTCAGAGAACCTGCAGCATAACCTGAAGCAGAGGGACTCGCTCCTGCAGCAGGCTGCATGGGACCCTCTCCTGCAGCAGGCTGCATGGGACCCTCTCCTGCAGCAGGCTGCATGGGACCCTCTCCTGCAGCAGGCTGCATGGGACCCTCTCCTGCAGCAGGCTGCATGGGACCCTCTCCTGCAGCAGGCTGCATGGGACCCTCTCCTGCAGGATGCAGCAGGCTGCATGGGACCCTCTCCTGCAGCAGGCTGCATGGGACCCTCTCCTGCAGCAGGCTGCATGGGACCCTCTCCTGCAGCAGGCTGCATGGGACCCTCTCCTGCAGCAGGCTGCATGGGACCCTCTCCTGCAGGATGCAGCAGGCTGCATGGGACCCTCTCCTGCAGCAGGCTGCATGGGACCCTCTCCTGCAGCAGGCTGCATGGGACCCTCTCCTGCAGCAGGCTGCATGGGACCCTCTCCTGCAGCAGGCTGCATGGGACTCTCCTGCAGGATGCAGCAGGCTGCATGGGACCCTCTCCTGCAGCAGGCTGCATGGGACTCTCTCCTGCAGGATGCAGCAGGCTGCATGGGACCCTCTCCTGCAGCAGGCTGCATGGGACTCTCTCCTGCAGCAGGCTGCATGGGACCCTCTCCTGCAGCAGGCTGCATGGGACCCTCTCCTGCAGCCTCCCTGATCCAGCTCTGTCTGCAGCTGCCCATAGAAAACCCTTTGCTCCGGATGGGTCCCTCCAGGCTCCACATACTTTATCTGTGGCTCCTGCATGTTTGCATTTAGACTCACCTCCATACAAAAACACCCTAATCTGTGAACAACAACATTACAGTTTCCATCCAGGACTTGTTAACCATTCACCAGTCATGTTTTTATAAGAGTTATTCAGTGAAGAATCATAAAAGTTTACATAATTCCTCCTGGCGTCAGACAAAAGTTTCTGTCTCCTTACAGAAACCGGATAGTGGAAGCGGATTAAAGAGAAATATCAACATTTCTGTCTGAGCCTGAAACTCAGAAACAAACTTCTGACCAATCAGACAACACTTCGGACTGGGTTCTGCAGAAACGGTTCGACCCGGCCCGGTGCCGAGTTCAGAAACAAAATGATGCAACGATGATCACGTCAATGAGAACCGATTTCAGGATCTTTATAGAGCCGATCAGAACATGTTCATGGTTCTGGTGAAAGATCTGATTCTATAACTGGCTCATTTAAACTGGTGGATTTCATTTTAACTGGTGGATTTTATTTAAACTGGTGGAGCTCCTGGTGTAGATCTTGATTTTTAAATGCACTTTAAGTCCGAAGCCTCATGGTAACTGGTTCCAGAACCGGGCTGGCTCTCTGTTCTGATGTAACAGCATGTCGCTCACATGGTTCAGACTCTGGTCTGTAAGGAATAACTAAAACCATAAGCTATATTAAATGGTTCTTTAGGTTCTATTATTATGTTTCTGTGAAAATAAAAAGTTTAATTCCTCAATATTTGCCACTGCAGTTGAATGTTGCTGCTGGTTCTGACGATGGGATCGTGGTTGGTGCCCATGACAGAAAAAAGTTGCTGCAGGTTCTGAAAAGTCATTAAATATAATGACAAAGTCTCTTTCACGTCGGCCACCCAGCGGTTGATTTATGCTTATTTTGAAGAATTGAAATTGTGCAATCAGAGAGAACCACTGGTGACTAAACATCTCCACAGCATGACGCTGCCACCACCATGTCTGACAGCTGGAGCAGCTAAACGGCTCCATTTTTACCTAATTTGACCACAAAGTGTTTCTGTCATATGGAACAAGCTGCTGCGTCCTGTGGAGACCCTTCAGCTCTTTGCAAGTTAAATCATTTACGCTGCAGTTGTTGGTCCAAACGGAAACATTCCTCCTCCTGCAGTTTCATCTGTGCGATAGAAAATATTTATGATACTCAAATGTCTGAAGCTCCACAAACAGAAAGCAAATAAAAGGACTTCAGCTGGGCTTTGTCATCGGGCCGATACCGAAGCTGAAGAAACTCCTCCTCTTCCTCCCGGTGGATGTGACCAGACTGGTTCTCAGACTGGTTCTCAGGACGTGTCGGTGGAGGGAGTGTCTCCCTGAGGTTACCTGAGGTCAAACCGCTTCCAGCTCAGAGTCTGGGGAGAAAAATACATGAAAACCTGCAGAAACTGCACACAGAGACTCAGTTTGTCATCAGATCAGAGTTTCTGTAATAAATGTTTAAATCTGGACACGATGTAAATATTAATGTAAACACACACAATGGGGTGTGTGTGGGAAAGGTCGATGACCTGTCGGGCGACTGAAGATGACTCAGAATGAATCATCTGATCCTGAAGAGTTCAGACCTTCCTGTGGAAATGATTGGCTAGTTTATAAAGACAGGCCTTCATCTCCTTATCGTCCTGATACGTGTTATCTCAGCTGAGCCTTGTTTGAAACGTTTTACCTCAGATCAGATCCAGCTGCAGGTTCTTAAATTCCTGAAGGTTA